GGGTCAGAGGAAGGGATAGAGGGAAGGAAAGAAGGAAGGAGAGGGGAGAGGGAGTTAAGAAAGGAGATAGAAAGAAAGGAAGGAAGGAAGGGAGGGAGGAAATAGGAAGGAAGGAAGGAAGGAAGGAAGGAAGGAAGGAATGGCGGGTTAGAGGAAGGGATAGAGGGAAGAAAAGAAGGAAGGAGGGGGGAGAGGGAGTGAAGAAAGGAGATAGAAAGGAAGGATAGAAAGAAGGGAGTGAGGAAATAGGAAGGAAGGAAGAAAGGAAGGAAGGAATGGCGGGTTAGAGGAAAGGATAGAGGGAAGGAAAGAAGGAAGGAGAGGGGAGAGGGAGTTAAGAAAGGAGATAGAAAGGAAGGATAGAAAGAAGGGAGTGAGGAAATAGGAAGGAAGGAAGAAAGGAAGGAAGGAATGGCGGGTTAGAGGAAAGGATAGAGGGAAGGAAAGAAGGAAGGAGAGGGGAGAGGGAGTTAAGAAAGGAGATAGAAAGGAAGGATAGAAAGAAGGGAGGGAGGAAATAGGAAGGAAGGAAGAAAGGAAGGAAGGAATGGCGGGTTAGAGGAAAGGATAGAGGGAAGGAAAGAAGGAAGGAGAGGGGAGAGGGAGTTAAGAAAGGAGATAGGAAGGAAGGATAGAAAGAAGGGAGGGAGGAAATAGGAAGGAAGGAAGGAATGGCAGGTTAGACGGAGGGACAGAGGGAAGGAAGGAAAGAGAGGGGGAGGGTAGAAAAGAGATAGAGAAAATGAAGGGTAGAAAAAGAAAAAAAGAAAGAAAGGGAGGGAGGAAATAGGGATGGAGAAGGGAGAAGGAAAGAGAAAAGGAAGTATAGATAGAAAGAATGAAGGGAAATAGGAGGGAAGGAAGGAAGGAGAGGGAGGAACGATGGCGGGATAGGAGGAGGGAAAGAGGGAAGGAAGGAAGCAGAGGGAGCGAGGGTGGAAAAAAGGAGATAGAGAAAAGGAAGGGTAGAAAAAGAAAACAAAAGAAAGGGAGAGAGGAAAGGAAGAATAGATAGAAAGAATGAAGGGAGGAACTAAGAGGAAGGAAGGGAAGAATGGGGAGATAGAGGGAGGGATGGAAGGCAAGAAGGGAGGGACAGAGGTAAGGAAAGAAGGAAAGAGAGGGAGTGAGGGTGGAAAAAAGGAGATAGAGAAAAGAAAGGATAGAAAAAGAATAAAAAAGAAAGGGAGGGAGGAAGAAGATAGAGAGTAAAGGAAGACTAGCTAGAAAGAAGGGAGGGAGGAAATAGGAGAGAAGGAAGGAAAGAATGGAGGAATGCAGGGAAGGAAATTCTGGGAAAGGGCCCAGGCACCCTAGAGGCCATCCAAACGTTTTCTCCTTTTCCTGGGTGGGGAAATGAGTAAGGAGACCCCCTCTAACCATGGTGGGAGGGGGCTTCTGGAGCTCCTGGCTGAAGCCCCCCCCCCCTCCAGCCTTGTGCTCCAAATGGGGCATTTCCTGCTGCGGCTTTCCAAGCGTGCCATTCGCACCTTCCCATGGGGGTGCGAACTCCCACAACAGGTGTGAATGCACACCCACTCACCCCCCTCTTTCCCCCCTCCCACGGGAGAAGAAGGGCCCACGTGCCCCCCCAACACTCCAAAGAACAACCGAAACGCGGGGGGGGGGGAACGAAAACATCCCAGTGTCGCTAGTGTGAGAAATCACCTAACAATGGCACAAAAACACAGCCGGTCCTCGACTTACGACCACAATCGAGTCCAAAAATGCCTGCTGCTAAGGGAGACCTTTGTTTCATCAACTTTGACCCCAGTTGTTAAGTGAGTCACACAGTCGTGAAGTGAATCTGGCTCCCCCACAGACTTTCCTCATTGGAAAGAGGGGATCGCGTGACACCCTTCCCCCCGGGGGACGCCGCCACGGTCGTAAGTAGGAGTCAGTTGCCAACGCTCCAAGTTTGGATCATGCGACCGTGGGGACGGCCGCAACGGACGTAAGTGTGAAAAAGCGGCCGTCAGCGCCGTTGTAACATCAAACGGTCACTAAATGAACAGTCGTAAATACGGGTTTTTTCCCCCCATGGCAGTTTTGCAGAGAACAAGCGTCCCTTCTCAACATGCTCAGATAAACGGGGACCCCCTCCCCATTTTAAACCATCCCGTACGAAGCCCCCCACTTTTGAAGTTTTGCCGAGTTTGTCAAGAGTGGAATCCCGGACCGACCCCCACAATATTTGAGTTGGCTTCCCCCTATCACACACACATAACGCTCTCGCAAAGAGTCACTTCAGCCAACAGGGGGCAGTGCAGACCCCTCCCCTCCAAAACTCTGTACTGTGCCCAGTTTTGGACACCCCATTCGGGACGTACCGTCCCCCCGTCACAATAACAGGGCGTCCTTAAAGTCCTTCTCCAACCGCACCCCAGCTTCCTACGCACCCTCCACCCCCAAGCAACCCCGCCAAGGCCGTCTGCCCTGGCACCCCCTAACCCCACCACCCCTCCTGTAGTTAGTTCCTAAGAACCAATTGGATTGAGCTCCCCCTGCAGTTAACCCTTGGAAGTGCCCACGTAGGGAGAAACAGCCCAGCTTTCTCCACCGGACAGCGCCACCTGCTGGTGCCCGCTGGGAAAAGCAGAATCCACCTTTCCCCATCCAAGGATGGAGAGACCACATCCTCACAACAAACCCCTGGGAATAATAAAGAGGCGACCCCCCCAGCCCCCAAAGTAGAGCCTGGCAACCCCCTCCCTTCTGGCCCCTTCATGGAGGTGGGGGGGTGTCATCCCCCCCTCCCTCCCCTCCCTTCCCCATCTTAAATTCACTCACCTGGGGGTTTCTCCAGCCGGCCTTTTCTGCCCCCGCACAGCCGGACTTTGGAGATTAGGATTAAAAGCTGTTTCTGGCATAAGGATTTGGTCCCTCGCGGACAGACCTTCCGCTGGGTCGAGACCGGGCGGCTGGCGACGGGATCGCGGATCTCCCGTTTCTGCCGGATCAAGGAGCTGGCTAACGCGGCCATGCCTGCCCCATCCGGAGGGGCTGGGGGGCGCTGGCAATCTCCCGGGTCAAAGAAGAGGAGACCCTCGCCCCCTTTTCTTCTCCTTCCTCCTTCTCTTCTTCCTCCTCTTCCTCCTCCTCTCCTTCCTCCTTTTCTTCTTCTTCTTCCTCCTCTTCCTCCTCTCCTCTCTCAGCTACCGAGCTCTGAGAACAGCCGGGGTCCCCATCAGCCTTTTCGGGGGGTGCAGCACGAAGGTCCCCCCTCTCCTCTCTTTTCTTCCCGGCCGGATGGGGGAAAGTCGGGCGGGAGGAGCGCGGGTGCCCCCCGAAGCCGGCTTTAGAGGGGCGCCGGGCGTCCGCCGCTCCCCGTCGCCTTCTCCCGCCTTCCCCCCGCGATCCGGGCCACGCCGGGAAGCCGCTCCCCGATCCGGCCGCTGCCGCCTCTCGGTTCAAACCCGGCGGAGGAGCAGAAGGCGCCTCGCCTGCCCTCCATCCATGCGGCTTCCGCGGCGCTGCGCAGGGTGGGAGGCCAAGCGGGAGACCCTGGCGTGTCCTTCAGAGGGGGGCTGGGCCGCCGGGGAGGGGGCAAGGGCTGGGTGGGTGGGTGGGGTGGGAGGCAGGCGAGCCAGAGGCGCGGTGGGCAAACGAGGGACCCTCGCCAACCCTGGGTGTGCCAGGGACGCGGCTGGGCAGCTCCGGGTGCGTTGCGAGCCAGCGAGCCAAGGAGCAGCTGCGAGGGAGGGAGGGAGGGAGGGAGGGGGGGAAGGGAAGGGAGGGAGGGGGAGGAAAGGAGAAGAAGGACTCCTGTCACACGCCAGTGACAAAGCCGGTGGGGCGGGGAGGCGCTGCCCCGTTGGAAAGACGCCCCTCGCCCCGCCGCCAGGAGAGAAAGCCGGGCACACCCAGGGACGGGAAATCCGTGGGGGTGGGCTGCCCCCGCCCTGCCAGGGCTCCTCATTTGGGGGGGGGAGGGCATGTGGGGCAACAGGGGCATCGCCTCCCCTCCCAGAGAAAGGCGATATCCCGCAATTTGGGGAGGGGGGATAAATTCAGCAGAGACCCCCATCGCGCGTAATAGAAAATCACTCCAGCGCAAAACGGACACGTATATTTGGCAACGCGCAAAGCACCCGGGGGGGGGAGCCTTAAGGAGGCGAGTTGGGGGTCGCCCGGACGGTGGGGGGGTCCTGAAGACACCCCAAAGTTGAGATCAAAGAGTCGGGGGGGGCGCTGGGGGAGGGGCAGGAGGTTTCCAAGCGGGGTGAAATCCCAGAGAAATCAGTGAGTCACGGTGGAAATTGAGAGTTGGGGGGCAGACAGGAGGGTCTCCCTCCCCGTATTGGAAAACTAGTCTGAAAGGGGGGGGGTCGGTCGTGGGAAAAGGGGTGAGGGGAGAAAAGCGCAGGGAAGCCCCCTGCTGGCTATTGGTTGGTACAAATGGCGCCCCTGGAGGTGACAGTCTGCAGGGCCTAATTGGGAACGGAAAGGGGGACGGGAGGAGGGGGTTGATGGGTGGGGGGGGAACTTGTCTGGCCGGTCGTTAAAGTGAAACAGGCTTCCCCCTGACTTGTCGGAAGGTCGCAAGGGGAGGGGGGAAATCATACGACCGTCATAAAGATGAGTCAGTGGCCGCAGGTCCAAATTTTGATCACCACGGGGATGGTCGTAAGTGTGGAAAACGAGTTGTTGTAACTCACTAAACGGAACGGTTATAAGTGGAGGACTCCCTGGAGTACAGAGGGCTTGTGCATAGTTCTGACCCCTCCCCAAACCCAAAGAAGGGGAGGGCAATTGTGGGCTTGCCCCCCTACCCATCTTCTGAGTGCCCGGGAATGGCCCCTCCCCAGAAACCACAGCCAACAGCTGCCTTGGGGGCTCCTGGGGGGGCCCATTTGCAGATTCAGAAGGATGGTTTGCAGTGGGGGTGGAGGGTGGGGGGGGTGAGTCATGGGGTGGGCCCACTTCCCCGTGGCGCAAGGGTCCGTGGCTTCGGTGGCGGAGGGAGAGGCTTTTGAATTCGATCTGTGTTTTTCAAAGTTGGGCCCTTGAAGATGGTTGGACTTCAACTCCCAGAATTCCCCCAGCCGGCTAGCAATGATAGAGTTGGGAGGGACCAGAAAGGTTATCTAGTTCAGTCTTTCTCCAACTTTAAGACCGTTGGACTACAACTCCCAGAACTCCCCCAACCAGTTGGACTTCAAATCCCAGAATTCCCCCAACCGACTTTAAAACAGTTGGACTTCAACTCCCAGAATTCCCCCAACCGGCTAGGAATGATAGAGTTGGGGAGGACTAGAAGGGTTTCCTAGTTCAGTGTTTCTCCAACTTTAAGACAGTTGGACTTCAACTCCCAGAACTCCCCAACCAGTTGGACTACAACTCCCAGAACTCCCTAACCAGTTGGACTTCAACTCCCAGAATTCCCCCAGCCAGCTAGGAATGATAGAGTTGGGGAGGACTAGAAGGGTTTCCTAGTTCAGTGTTTCTCCAACTTTAAAACAGTTGGACTTCAACTCCCAGAATTCCCCCAACCGGCTAGGAATGATAGAGTTGGGGAGGACTAGAAGGGTTTCCTAGTTCAGTGTGTTTCTCCAACTTTAAGACGGCTGGACTACAACTCCCAGAACTCCCTAGCCAGCAATTTAAGGTGGACGGAACTTCAACTCCCAGAATTCCCCCAACCAGCTGTGGAATTCTGGGAGTTGAAGTCCACACCTCTTCCAAGGGGCCAAATTTGAAAAGCAGGCTGCTGGCTCCTCAGAGCGAAGTCCTCTGAGCATATGCAGAGTGCTTTTGAGCCTGAATGTCTGGCCAGGGTCCCCCCCGACATGCTCAGAGGCACTCTTCTCCCAGGAAACCCTCGAACCCGGGTTCCGGTCGTGTTTGTTGTCCCCCCCCCCCCAAGAGACCTTGGCCCGCGTTATCCTCACCCCAGTGTTGCAGAGACAAACCCATTAGCGGAAGAGCCATTCCTACTTGGCACCCACTCGGAAGGAGAGGAGGAGAAGGAGGAGGCGCCATGCCAGGCTTGCCCACTCCAGGCCCATTTGCTAATTGCTTTGCAGCCCTTTGCTGCCAGGGCCACCGCCAGGCCGGGGAGGATGGGTCTGCTTGGGGTGGCGGGAGGGGAGGGGGGAGCAAGGCCTTCTGCTGTTCTTGTTGCTGTTGGGCGTGCGACTGTGCGTGTGAGATGGATACAGGGGGTCCTTGAGTTATGACCACAATTGACAGACCTCCTTGCTTCCTATTTTCCTCCCTCCCTTCCTCTCCTCCCGTGCTTCTGTTCTTTCCTTCCTTTCCTCCATCTATCCCTCCCTTTCCTTTCTTCCCTCCGTCCTTCCGTTCTTTTGTTCCTTTGCCTCTCACTGCCTTCCTTCCTTCCTTCTTCCTCCCTTTTCTCTCCCTTTCCTTCCTTCTCCCTCCCTCCCTTCTATCCTTCCTCTCCTTCCCTCCCTCCCTTCTATCCCTCCTTCTTATTTTCCTTCCCTTCCTCTGTCCTTCCGTTCTTCCCTTCCTTTCCTCCATCTCTCCCTCCCTTTCCTTCCTTCACCCTCCCTCCTGCCCTCCTTTCTAGCCTTCCTTCCTTCCTTTCCTTCCCTCTCTCCGTCCTTCCGTTCCTTTCTCTCTCACTGCCTTTCTTCTTTCCTTCCTTCTCATCTTCCTTCCTTCCTCCTCCCTTCCTCCCTTTTCTCTCCCTTTCCTTCCTTCTCCCTCCCTCCCTTCTATCCTTCCTTCTTATTTTCCTTCCCTCCCTCTGTCCTTCCGTTCTTCCCTCCCTTTCCTCCATCTCTCCCTCCCTTTCCTTCCTTCTCCCTCCCTCCTGCCCTCCTTTCTAGCCTTCCTTTTCTCTCTCTCTCTCTCTCCTTTCTTTCTTTCTTTCCTTATCTTTCGTCCCAGAACTCAAGGCTCCTTGCTCCCTTCTGCCCCCCCCCACAACAACAACCCTTCGAGGAAGGCCGCACAAGGCCCGGGTCACCCAGGAGGATTCTGGGGCTGCAGAGGGGGCTTCCTCGCCCCCCCACCAGCTCCTCTCTTGGTCCTTCCTTCCAGGTGAATCCAGCAACCACATTTCCCCTCCGAAGCCGCCCAGAGCTTTCCCTGATACGGCCGGCTTCCTCTTCTGCCTTGTCAAGAGACCCACAACTGCACAACGGGCTGTGTGTGTGTGTGTGTGTTGCTGCAGAAGCCAAGGTGAGGGAGGGGCCCCGAGTTATTATATCCCCCCAAGCCAGTTCCAGCCCATCCTATACAATCAAAGGGGATTAACTTAAACTAAAATGAGGGTTTGGCGCCCCCTGGTGGACGGCAGAGAAAAGGCAGCATTCAGGCCGTCCTCGACATAACAACCGTTCACTTAATGTCCGCGATGAACCTTCAACGGCCCCGAAACAAGCCAACGATGACCTTTGTTTCGCACTGACGACCGTTGCGTCCTCCCCATCCAAATTCCCACGCTTGGCAATGGGTTCACACTTACGACAGTCCCGGGGTGACTTTTCCGACAAGCAACATCAAAGGGGGAAAGCCGGATTCACTTTGCAACCGACCCACGATGGCAGCGGTTCGTTTAACGACGGCGGCGAGAAAGGGCGCAAACCGGGGCGAAACTCAACTCCACTTAGCCACGGAAACTTTGGCGTCGCACGGCGAGGAAACCCGCCACCCTCGTAAAAATAATAAAGACTTTTACGTCAGTGACGATAAGGAGAATTGTGACGAGTCCTTCAAGCGGCCTCGAGGCGGGATTCAGGACGGGAGCCTGTGCAATTTCACAGCCTGGGTTAAAACCCGGCATTGGGGGTTGCTCAAAGCGGAATCGTGGTTTGTTTCGGAGGCGGTGAGTAAGGCCAGGGGTGTATCGCAGTATTTTGCAAGCGTGGTCCCTTTAAGAGGGGTGGACTTCAACTCCCAGCATTCCCCAGCCAGCTGTGTCTGGTATTCCTCCCCCCTTCCTCCCTCCCTACTTCTGCCTGGAGCGGAGAGATTGCAGAGAAAGGGATTATAAAAGAGTAAACAGGCAGCGGTGGGTGTATAAAATACATCCCAAGGAATGCTTTGGTTCCAGGGAATTCTGGGAGTTGAAGTCCACCCTTCTTAAAGGGGCCAAGCCCCTTTAGCTAAGGCCAAGAGGTTAATAGTCCCCTGAATTGGATGAAATACCCATAGGAACACAGGAGCGAATGATTAAAAAATCATAGCATTATTTTCTTATGTTAAAAGAATTAAAAGAAACAATGATAGCATAGGCAAAACCTATATACATATACACATATACACATATACACATATACACATATACACATATACACATATACACAT